GCTTATTCAACATGGCTGCATGTTGGCCTCACACCAACTTTGTTATTTTCATTTATGTTTATTCTAGTGTATATTTCTCATAATAGCTGTCCTGATATCTGACGGTGGGAAGTGCAAAATGTTACAATCCTTTTATTTTTTCTTTCCAGAGCTGCCTTTCAGTTTGGTATCAAGATGTCTGAGGGACGTAAAACACGGCGTGCAGGCCCCAAAGATGAAAAGGCAAAGCTAGACAGGGATTGGCAGAAAATTAGTCAGGTATGGTAATGGACTCCTAAATTTGAACCCTGTTGTTCTCATTATTTTCTAGACAACGAGCGTCAGTGTGACACGTCGATCACCAGTTTCACTCCGAGGTCGGAACCTCGTGACATAACACTCAGACTAAGTGACTAGTGTTCTAGCATTCTTTCGATAAGTTTGGATAGCTCTGGCCTCTGAAATCCTGGTTCTTTGAAGATGGAAATTCCATGTCTGTCCTTTGTTCATCCTCGGAGACCCAGGGGCCGTCAGTTGGGTCGGGGAAAAAGGTGGGACGAACGTTTTCAAGTAAGGGCGGAAGAGCCCCTGGGTACCGACTCTCACCAAACTATTTCCAAAAATTCAAGCAGATGCCGGCTCCTGATTGGGCACAAAAAATGCTTTGTATTATTGTGCCCAATCGGCGAACAGTTTCTCCTGAGTTCTTTTCGTGAGTTCGTACTCGACGGCTAGTATTGTCTCACCACACTTGCCCGGTTTGTTCACCAAGCTTGTGCGTACAAGGAAAACTTTTATTTTCTACTTTCCTAACCAGAAACAAAGGAACTACCGATGAGTTGATGAGTTGAAAAAACGTTTGGGTTACTATCAGCAAGAGCAATTGAATTTGCTCCGAGAATATTCTGTTTTTGACGGATCACAATTAAGATGCAGTGGCAATGAGAAATTCAAATAAGTAATAGCTTGACAAGGCAAAACAAAAACTTTCCACGTGCATCATGCTTTTTTGTACATTTCTCTGCCGTCAACTGCACGACTACCCGTGAAAATGCCTAATTTCACGTTTTGTGAAGGATGTAAACAACCAATAACAAAATTCATTCTCTTCATGAACTTGGATATTCAGCTCCAGAAGAGTTCGCTTGCATTTGACAAAGTAAGCGAGTTGGATCAGATGGGGATTTTATATCAAACTGAAAGTTTCCTGACTGCGTGCACTTCTTTGGTGCGTAAGCTAGTAAGACGCTAGACAAGCCATGATCGAGACAGTAGCCGTCATGTACGAACACACGAAAAGAACTCATTGAGATGTTTTCGCCGATTGGACACAATAACACAAAGCATTTGTTGTGCCCAATCAGGAGCCGGCATCCGCTTGAATTTTTGGAAATGGTCCGGTGAGAGTCGGTACCCAGGGGCTCTTTCGCCCTTACTTGAAAACTTTCGTCCCGCCTTTCCTCTCGACCTGACTGACTGCCCCTGGGTCTCCGAGGATGTCCTTTGTCAAGTGTCCATTTTTTTTTGTAAAGAATGTCATTCACTTCTCTTTTCCCATGTTGTTCCATTTTAACATCATTCATGGCTGTCATTAGGGATTTCCCCTAGCTACTATGAACCTGGTCCCTGGCTACTCTCATAGGAAAGTAGAAAAATAGAACCAAAGGAAATCCCTAGCTGTTTGATTCACCGCCTACTTGTAGTATTTATTCCGCAACCTGAAATCTTTGTAAAATCCCTGTCATTGTCTGTACAGCCACATCCTGGGTAGCCTGTTTCCAGTTGTCACTTCTCTTCGCCTGAAAATCCTTGCCGAATGTTGGGGTTCCTTAGATGAGTTTATTCTGATAGAGAGTCTATTATTATTTATTTTTTCCCTTAGATGTTAAACAAGAGGAAAGATGAGGGGTGAGTAAAATGCTGTTGTTGGTTAGGAATTAAAACATCAAACAGGCTGAAGAATAAACTAGCAGAACTGGTCAATAAAATATGATTTTACTCTGAAGTACTTAAAAAAAGGAACTGGCCAAAGAAAACCTATTTCCAAAAATTAGACTAAACCCCAGGGGGTACTCCTGGGAATTCTTTTTGGGGGTGTGCTGCCCAGTTCTTCAATAATAATGACCTTATAAAATGGAGCAACACAATTTTGCCCATTAGAAAAGGAGGATTCTCTTATTGCGAACTCACCCTGTATGCATTAACCAGTTTTTTTTTTTTTTGGTGGCTGTTTCAGGAGAGGAGACTCAGATAGCAAGAGGAGAAAACATTGAATTGGAAACAATAACAACTGTTACAGTTCATTTTAGAATCATGACTGTTAGTACTACTGCTACCACATCCATTGCTTTAAGAGACAAGAAAGGACTTTTTTGTCATGAGCAAAATATTAACCATTTTAGCTGTACAGGTTGTAATGAAGCTGCAGGTATAACCAAAGCATCCCCTGTTTGAACTCAGGATCGCATTGTGGACCTTTTTGAATCGAGGACATTGTTGTTTTCCAGCCTTTTTTGTTTATTATTTTAAAGCCAAGCCCATTAGCCCTGGTTGTTCAAACTTTGAAAAGCACTATCCACTGAATAAATCACTATCCAGGGGATAAGTATTAGGGAAACCACTGGATGAAGATTTATTCGGTGGATAACATTGCCCACCTTTTGAACAACTGGGTCCTGCTGGATAAATAACCTATGTTGATGGCTTTAAATTTCCTGAAGCTGTCCATGTGTTGTTCAGTTAGCTTTTTCTTTCTGATTTTTGCTCTCTTATTTCTTTTTTGCTCTCAGCAACTCATTATTAAGGAATGTTGGTATGACATATAACTTTGTTTAAAATGTAACATCCTAAAAAATCACGAGGACAGACAACAGTAGAGAAGTGCACAGTGTCCACAATTTACTGTGGCTTTTGTGTAGTGGTACAGACTGTATTGTAATAAAAGCTGAAGTGATAACATTCCATTTTGCTCAGCTGCTAGCCATTAGTATCATTTTTCTGCTGTATAAATAGGCTTTGGTTTTGGATTTTCATCATGGACAAATTTTACAAACAGTATCTATAATTACCAACTCAAGATTTTGAAAGAATCCACTGGGAGTGGTGGTAGTATCAAGAGGGAGTAGTCTGTTTCCAGATGTATTAAAAGTAAAAAGACCAGAATACTGTAGAGTTTGTGATTGCTTTTTTATTATTTTTTCCCCTTAAAAAACAATATTTGCACTCATCCCATTGCACAGTAATTAATAATTCTCACACAAACTTAACAACATTACGATGGAGAAAGGTCATCAAGAACACTCAAGGCTGTGCTCTAAAGAAATTGAAGGGAGCCCAGTACTCTGAACCTTAGTCGCCCGAGAGCAAAGTTAGGTACCAGGGGTCACTGGGCTCTGCTAGAGCACAGCCCTGAGACACTGCTTCCTCTTTCTATGTCAATGCGTCATGATACATTTGTCAATAACATGCCAACAAGTTATACATAATTTTATTCCAGCATTAGTTTTCATAACACAGAAAAAAGTTGACAATTAAAAGCAAAGAGAGACATGAAACGTTTCTAGAATACAATCCATCATGGAGTCATTAAAATAAATTATTGCTACCCAAATGTAACAGATCACAACCAATTTGGTGTTTGAAAAAATTGTTAAAGATAAAATACAGAACGAGATAGTGCTGTGAAAGCATATCTTAAAGGTGCATGCATAAAACATTTTTCATAATTATTTAAAAGATTTTTGAGAATTTGAAAAATTTCTTTTATAATTTCACCTAACCCCAGTAGATTCATATGTGGTGAAAATTCAGCAGCTACTAAAATGGCGTCCAAGGCACGGAATAGTTTTGAGGGCCTTCTTTGCCTTTTGGATTTTGGAAAATCACCTTGGTTTGACAATGCCAAAACACTGTACAACCGTCACTACTTCTAGAGGTAACAGTACTAATATTAGATTTTGTAAAACTTCAAAATAGTTTTAGTTAAGAGAGAATACTAGTAAGGAACTAGATGTAGAGTGCTGATTTATCAGCAAAGGTTAAAATAATCACACTGTACTAAAAGGTTCCTTATTGTATAAAATGTAACAATTTGGGTGTCCAGATAAGACACAGTTAAGCCCTCTGTAAGCTACCACCTATATAAGGCTCTTAGCAGAATCTAACCACAGAGTTTTATTTTTTCTTTTGGGAACAGGCCTGTCGAAGGTACAGTTTCCAAGTTACAATAAATCTTTAATCTTAAAATCACGGTTATTGCCACTAGCATTACAAATAATGTTAATCCGGCAGAACCAGTGCACCTTAATTTCTTTGATAGTATAGCAAACACAGAGATCAGACCATGTGTCCAGTGGTCATTTACAAGAAATTTAATCAGTAGGGAGTTAAAAAAATTACCATTCCAAAAAGCCACCATGGTGGCTTATGGGGGGGATAAGGGAGGTGATAATTAAGAGAGGTTCCTAATATAGGGCTCTGACTGGAAAATTTAGTGTCTGTTGTCATTTGTCCCTTATGGGAAGTACCCCCATACGATGTAGGCTTCAACTGTATATGCACCTCAAATTTTTTAAAAAAGTTTTGGTGAAAAAAGTGGTTATTGTACAGGGGTAAATATGGTAAAGAAAATTCAAATTCAACTAATAAATTACAAAAAGACAACGAGAGGTTGTCAGTTTATAGAATTAACAGTCCTTTAATACTAATTTCAATTTGTTTCTGTGTTGCAAATTTATATTAAAAATGTTAATCATTGTAGAAATTTCTACTGAAGGTATTTAATAAAAATGACTAAAGTAATAAACAACAGGCAATATTTACACTAAAAAAGAGGCTTTTTGGCCAATGTGTAGTTCCAAAAACTCTCCATACTCTACCACAGTTAAGGAATTGGAAATTTCCAGGGAGAAGTGGGGTTTCCAAGAACAAAACAAAGGTATGAAAGTTAAAGGAATTTCTTCCATGGCGGTAGGTGTGAATTTCATGGAACTAAACGACTAGCAGGCAAATCTAAAGACCTATTAAGGTGATGAAACAGACCAACTTGCTACTTTTGCAGTTGGGCCATCAATACTTGTAAAATCAATCTCTATCTTGCTTTTCTTTGGTTTGAATTGCCTGCAGAGAGAATAAGGAAATAAGACACGGAAAAAAGATTGAAATTAGAGGGAGAGCCAAGGTTAAGAAGTGGTAAAAGGAACGTAGAGAATTGTTGGTCTTAGAAACTTTTGATCTGATGTTGAGATTTCAGAAACATTTGTGATGAGCTGCAAGCCTCATTTGTATTTCTTTCTATCATGGAGGACCAACATTCTTTCCCTAAGGTGCTGAATTTAAAGTAAGGGACCTGGCATTTAAGCGAGTCTCACAATGTGAGCTTTGATAACCTGAGATCCGGCTCAATTTTCGTTTCCCTTTGTAATAACATTCTGGCAGGCAAGGTGAAATGAAAACAGATTCCAATTTTAGCGGTAGCCATTAGAGAGAATATATGAGAACCGCTAAAATTGGGCCTGATCTCAGGTTAGAGCTTTTACTGTAACAAGGCACTGGTGTTTGTAAGGTCAACTTTTGAATCACATCCCTATAGCTGATGAAAGTTATCAGCTTAGTAGATAATACCAAGCTCTTATACATCACCCTATTCACATAGCAACAGTTTCTCACAAAATAAACATTGTATTGACTAACTTCTACGTGGGTCTGGGTGGAGCATAGTGTTCTTGTGGTTACATGTAACTCTTAGACTTTGAAACTGTTGTTACAGGTTCAAGCCTTGTTATTGCATTGTTCCCTTTACAGAAACTTTGTTTCACTTTGTCTCTGACCACCCACATCATTGTGGAATATACCTCCTACCTTTGCTAAGTGATGTGTGTGAATTTCGTATCCACATCACCTGAATTTTTGAAAAAAATCTGAGCAGTTCCCAACGATGCCAAAAACGTTCCGGTGACTTCCAGACATGATGCAAGATGTTCTTATTATTTCCAAGGGTTGCTAAAAGTAGATGTGCAAAGTGCCAAATCTTGGCACCATCTTGCCAAGATCATGGAGGCAAAGTATCATGAGATCTTGCCAAGATCTAGCCTTCATACTCAAGATTGCAAATATCTTAGTAAGATAACCTATTTGGTTGTTCTTTTTTTCTGGAATTGTACACTATACATGTAAAATTATTGTACTGTATGCATGTGATCAAAGTTTTTGATCTGCAGGTGTAAAAAACACGTGTAATGTGTGTGAGGTGTCATGTATAGTATAATATATGCAGGATGGAGCAACTCTGAGGGTAGGGGGAGTAGGAATCACCCTAGGTGCTTCATGCGACTGAAACTGAGAGCAGCTCCTTCTGTCAACCCTTTAAGCCCTGAGTGATCAGCATCAAATTTCTCCTCGTAATATGAATGCTTTGTAAAACAGAGTGGTCATGAGAATTACGGACATGATCACACAAGATGAATTGCTTGATATTTTATCAACTTCTCCCCACTACCTCTGTAGGAAATGAAAGGGGGTAACAAATGAGAATTCTGATTTTGATCTTAGGGTTTAAAGGGTTAAGGCCTCCTTGGATTGAAGCATGTCAAAGATCTGGAAGGTAAAATGATTACCTATATTTGATCCCAGCCATATCCAAAAGCTTCCTAGCTGCCGTACAAATGGGCTGGTTGTGATACTTGTCAGAGTAGAATATAACTTCCTTGATCCCTGCCTGAATGATTAATTTGGTGCATTCATTGCATGGAAACAAAGCTACATAAATGGAACAGCCTTTGATGTCTGCTGCATTCTTGTTCAGGATTGCATTCATTTCAGCATGGCAAACTAAAAGACAAAAACAGTTTTGATCGGAATGGGAATGGAATGGGACACATTTAGCTAACTGGTGCATGGTTGAGATTGTTAAAGGAAAATTACAAAATACCAAGCACTCCCTGAAGGATGGGAGACAGTTCAAGTGATGGTGATATGTCACAGTCATGGTTAACAATGAAGAGTTAATGGTGGAGAAAATAGGACCAGGGACTCCAAAATGTGGTCAATGGTCATGGTAATACTGTTGGTGTATTAGCGAGGCTGAGAACAAGTAAATAGCTGAAGTTTTATTTCAGACCATAAAAAAGGGTTTGTAATAATGTGCCAGTTGTATTAAAGGGTTGTACCACAGGGTGCCACTGTGTGGCTAAAGCCAATACCATAACCTTCCGCTTACAACCTCTGGGCTTATACAACTTTGTAAGGGGTTTTAGGAGTGCTTATAAACAGTGGGCTTATAACTAGACTAAAAAAGCATTTCAAAACAAGCTACATATAGCAGTGCTGATAAAAAAAAAGCACTTTATTTAAGTGTCAATGTATTTAGCACAAAAGTACCGATTGGGGACACTATTTTTATGTCTCCTACTGGAGATGGGACTGCCATTTTACGTGGTCATCCGAGCCATGCAAAGGTCTAGCCATTTGCAGGGCAAAGGTAGTACCTTCATTTCTCAGTCATTTTTAAGACCCTGAGTGTTGGTCTGGTCCCCGGAATCAAACCTGCGACCTCCTGCTCTACAGTCAAGTGCTCTAGTGACTGAGCTCATCCTGCTTGGTCAAAATGATCAAAATACTTTTGAATTTACTCACTTTTTTGAGCTTCAAAATGTTATAAAAATAAATTCATTTCAATACAAACTAAAGGGGGCTTATAAATAGATGCATTTTTTGTTTTCAGATAGTTGGCCTCCTTAACCCTTTAAGCCCTAAGTGATGAGCATCAAATTTCTGCTTGTAATATCACTAGTTTATAAAATAGAGTGGTCATGAGAATTAAGGACATGATCACACTAGATGAATCTAATTGATACTTCAACAAATTCTCCCCACCACCATGTATAGGGATAACAAATGAGAATTTTTGAATTTTGATGTTAGGGTTTGAAGGTTTAACTGTGGGGAGCTTATAAGTGGGCGAGGAGGAGCTTACAAGCAGAAGTTTAGGGTAATTGCTTGCACAAGAAAAGAAGAATTCTGTATGATTACACTCAAATAAATAACAAAGACTTCCTAAACTCATACTCCTTATATAGCAGAAATAAATACACCGATAACCAATAAAGTAACCCATACGAGGCAAGTTCTTCTTACCCACCCCCTGCCCCGCCTCAACAACTCCACCCCTCTCCCGAACCTCGTCTCAGATCTGTGTCATTCACAGACTGCACACAAGCCCAAATTACCTCACTAGCTTACAAAGGTACAGTAACTGATTTTACCATAAGGATATTTTGTTTCCAACTCATCTTCTCCATGTCTTTCCCACGGTAACTCATCATCGCTACAGCCATTCGGCATTCCATTGTATCCTATTCCAACAATCTTCCTGTCGCCATTCACTACACAAGCTCCTACCTGAGAGTTGGGATCTTTACTTCTCTGGGCAGACAGAAAAGCGACCGCCATGAAATACTCATCCCAACTTAGGTAGTCTGTTCGCTTCCCAGTTCTTGAGGGACTGCATATTGTGATATTTTCCAATCTAGCCTCCTTTAGTGTGTTCTGTTCACTGGAAGATACAACCTTCGCAGTGGCTTTTCGTTTCGGCATTTTCGCTGACTTTCTCGATAACAGCCACGCTTTCAAGTTCCTCCCGCGACAATTCCAATGACTGGCTACGTGTTAATTAAATAAAACAAAATTATCCTTTTCTCTTTCTCCTTTAACTTCGCAAATCTGTTCTTGAGGTTAAAATTAAAGATGCTTTAGAGCTTTCAACTTGAAGGACAAATCGCTCGATTCCCTCCAAACATCAACATTTCCCGCGAATTTGCAAATTATGTGTAGCAATCTAAGAAGCCTTTTCATTGGTTAAGAAATCCTTCCAACCAATCACAAAGCGCGTAATATCAATTTGTTTTCGAACAGCAGAGTCCAGGACCTCGCTTTCACGCAGGGTGTGTGGAAACCAAGTTGAGAATAGAGTTCGAATTTGCATATGAATTTGCATAACACATACTTTTCCCGGTTCAGAGCTTTATTCGGCAGAGAGAAGTTTCTTCCTTTGCCACTATTTTATTGAAACACCATGAAATCAGTAGACGAGATATTACCTTGGGATCGATAACGCACGATGACTAGATTGTTTAAAAGTTCAGAAGAGACGTTTGATGTGGTCCTGTCCGGCGGTTCGCCATGGGGTTTTACATTACAAGGAGGCAGCGAATTCAGAACGAAACTTTCTGTCTCAAAGGTAAGTCAATCAGAATATTTTTTTCTTTAGAAGCTTGACCGATTCCTTAGGTAGCAATAAACCCAAAAAGGAAATGATGGTATCTTTGATATCCTCTAGAATTTCGCCTCTAGCGGTCTTTGTTTACTGTGGTGTTTTTGTCGTCAGAATTGTGGGTAGAGATCGATTGGGTAGATTTCCATATCCAAAATAGACTCACAGAGACCGACACCGGTCGTATTAGCGGCTTTTGTATAAATAGAACTTCCTAACCATACATCTCTGATTGGAGATGAACGTTTGTGATTTTTGAGTATAAAGTTACCTTCCTGGTTCAATTCTTGGTGAAACACTAGCCGAGTTTTCCTTGGACAACGATCGCTAGCTTCCGCAGATTATTGACGCGTTGACTGCGATTTTAGCATGATTCTCACCTAATTACGTTCCTTAAATGAGTGGTCGATATTGAAGGACCCTTGTCGAGGCCGTCGAAGTTTGCTGAATATAAAGTAATCGAAGAGAATATTCGAGAAGCTAGCACGTATTAGCGAACAAGTGCATCAATACCTGACAAAATTCCCAGCACCCGTCATGATTGACATGCGAAGCTTATCAGCGGCTCCGTGTTGATTGCAAAATTTGCAAGATGTTGTGCCCATTACCTGACAGAATGCAGAGTTTAAATATTGTGTTACGTTCATGTTGTGCTAAAATCTTTCGCATTCCACAGTAACGTCGGCGGTAGTCTAATTCTATTAAGGTATTCTCGACAATGTTTTTGAGGGATTAACGTCGTCAGACGAGGTTTGTGTGTTCTGATGTAGAATCTAGGATTCTAAGTTACTCGAATCTTGGCAACGTTAGTTCTGTTTGGGTACTTTTCGTGGTAAGACAACCCTGGTAATGGCTGAACTGAACTAACGGCCCAACTGCGTAAGATATTTATGCAATTTCGAGTTTTTGCAGTGTCTTTGTGTTTGGCAAGGAACAGTGAAATTTATAGACATGGTTGAATGACTGTGGGAGTCATGTAATATACTGAACTCGTGCTCCCGAGAACGACTGATATTTTCCTCATAGTTATTCATGTTTTCCTTATGTACAAGTTAAATGTTTTGTAAAAGAAAAATGACAGGAATCTCTTCCTTTTGTAATCTCCGGTTTCTGTTTTGCAGTTTTTTATTTGTGTTCCTATCCACAACCAATTTGTTAGAGCGAACAATTTTGAAGGGAACACGTCACATTTCCTGCGCTGATAAGACTTTCGTTTTGTCTTAGCTAATATCTGTAAAATCACGATATTTTTTGCTCTTGGTTTTGGAGGCAAAAATGACGATGTGAAATTGCTTCTTGAATAACTTGTACGTTTGTTATTTTCAGTGTGAATAGTGGTTTATCAAGATTAGAAAGTATTTAGGTACAAAACAGTTTTATGTAATTTTTTGTTCTGTTGCTATTCTCGGGAAGGAAACGACACATTAGCCTACCTCAAGTGTGATATTAATTTGTTACAGTTTAAACCGTTGTAAGATTATTTATTTTACTTAACACATATTTGATCCATATTTGAATTTACAGGAAATCTGATTACTAAAACAGGCATTATCCTGTCTACAACTGACCTTACTTTGAATATTAATTATTTTAAACTAACTTGTTAATACGTGAAGTCTCTGTCAAAATAATCTTACTTTTTTGCTAATTGAAGTGAATTTTTTAATGAAATATGCAGATTTCTCTCTACAGTGTTGGTACTGCAATCTAATCCTTTTAATAATTACACTGTGCTATATATTTGTTTTTAATGGCTCTTAGANTAAAAGAAAAATGACAGGAATCTCTTCCTTTTGTAATCTCCGGTTTCTGTTTTGCAGTTTTTTATTTGTGTTCCTATCCACAACCAATTTGTTAGAGCGAACAATTTTGAAGGGAACACGTCACATTTCCTGCGCTGATAAGACTTTCGTTTTGTCTTAGCTAATATCTGTAAAATCACGATATTTTTTGCTCTTGGTTTTGGAGGCAAAAATGACGATGTGAAATTGCTTCTTGAATAACTTGTACGTTTGTTATTTTCAGTGTGAATAGTGGTTTATCAAGATTAGAAAGTATTTAGGTACAAAACAGTTTTATGTAATTTTTTGTTCTGTTGCTATTCTCGGGAAGGAAACGATACATTAGCCTACCTCAAGTGTGATATTAATTTGTTACAGTTTAAACCGTTGTAAGATTATTTATTTTACTTAACAAATATTTGATCCATATTTGAATTTACAGGAAATCTGATTACTAAAACAGGCATTATCCTGTCTACAACTGACCTTACTTTGAATATTAATTATTTTAAACTAACTTGTTAATACGTGAAGTCTCTGTCAAAATAATCTTACTTTTTTGCTAATTGAAGTGAATTTTTTAATGAAATATGCAGATTTCTCTCTACAGTGTTGGTACTGCAATCTAATCCTTTTAATAATTACACTGTGCTATATATTTGTTTTTAATGGCTCTTAGAGAATCATCAGTTGACAGATATGAGAACTCACTGATTCCAGCGAAAACTTACATTTTCAGCAATCCTAAAGTTTTAACATCTTGTTCAGGCTCTCTGTTTTTGGTGAAGGGGGCTAAAAATTTCAAGCACATGTTTGGGAAAAAATGAATGAGAGGTAGTGAGAAAATGGTTATGGGGGAGTTCTTTCTAGTGCTTTACTTAAAGAAAATTTTCACTCTCCTGGGAAGGTAACTTAAATATGTTCTATTTCAATTTGACAGAACCAAGCATCAATTTCTTCACAAATAGCTTGTACTCTATTTTCATTTGAATCCTTTTTGAGGTCAGGGTTATTTTCGTGTTCATTAATAGTATCCTTAATAGAGAAACTGCAATTTTTGAGGCATGTTTTCATGTAACTGTGATACATAAAATTTTGATGATAAAATTATGCCTTATAGAGAGTCAAAGAAAATGGGCGAAGAGCTAGAGGGACTGTCTCTACTTGCCCTTTTAGGGAGGTGCCCAGTAAAGACAATTTAATTGTATTGGTACACTGTATTTCCTCTCTTACAATGAGGTGCTATTCCATTACAAATTCAAGCTCAGTGTTGGAGTATGTTTACAGGAGTTTTGGTTCCCAGGCTCTCTTGGGCCTGGTTGATTCTGGCAGTTGGTCAAAAGAGGTGAAAATTGAAAAACTAAAAATATCCCTAGTAGGCCAGGGCTTCCAGTGAAACCCAAAAAGTTCAAGGACCAAACATTAAGCGCCCCCCGAAAAATCCCATGCCCATAATATTCTTTTACTGAAATTCATCAAATATTAATCATCTGCAAAACAAGTTTGGTTGTACTTTATAACGCAGAGCAATGCTGCTGGCATGCTTGCACAGTACCCAAAAAAATACCCGCCAAATTTTCCTACCAAATATATTTCAGAGTGGAAAATTTCAAATGCAAAAAAAAAACCTTCAATCACCTTTTCACTTAACTCAGCAGTAACCACCTGGGGGTTTGGATTAACCTATTGGTATTATGTTGTTAGCACCCTTTATGGAGATTAGGGGTGAGACAGTAACTGAAGCAAACAGTTCCTTGCCTATGGAATTAAATACCACAATGATTTTACACTGATCAGTGTTTAGACCACTCAATCCAACAGGTTAAGTAAAAAATGCTACCTTTTTCTACCTTTTTTTCTTTTTACATACATGTGGGAGAAAATCCAACTTTAATCAATCAAACCAGGGCATTTGTGGGACAGTTTGTTATGTTGACATTTATTTTCTTTAATTACTGTGCAAATCTTCAGCTGTAAAATTTTAGTCTTTAATATTATATTATCCATCTGGTCATCATGTCTGATGGCTGGTAGGATTTTTTCAGTCATGGGCAAAATTTAGTTAGGCATTGTCCAATTACTGATTGTTATTTGTAGCCCAACTACTTTAGTCCCATATTAAATTGTTTAGTTTATACAATGATTCTACTACAGTGGAAGCTATCGTAACTGACACTCTCATAAACAAACAGCTCTACTTATGGCTGTTTTTCTCATTTCCAATAAAAATATATTTTTATTTGTACATTCCCCTGAGCGGTCAGCTTCAGTGATGGACACCTTTTTTGCATTCCAAGGGTTTCCGCTCACGAGAGCTTCCGTTGTATACCAATGTAAGTCATTTGTTTAACGACAAAACTTGTAATAATGTCACAAAACAAAAACTAAACAGATTTACAGTATATATGACATGTGTAAAAATAATGATGATGATGATGATGATGATTTATCTCTTTTCAATTAACTTACAAAGTCACCATCCTTTCCTTTTATTGTAAGTAGCTAAGCGAATTCAAGCATAAATGTAACCTCAGCTATTTTTATGTTTGTTTCGTCAAGTTGTAATACGTACACGTTTTGTGTGATGTAAATTTAGCTTAAATAATAAATTAAATTAAAAAAAAAAGTTTCAGTGAAAAAATTGAGAACTGTCAGTGGGACGGTTTAATTGGCTACACAATATATTAATAAATACCATCATTCAAGATATTTGCATCTCCTTGCCATGTTTTTCTAAATATTCATATATCATGTTCATTGAACTAGATGTTCAATAGACTATCATATTTTGTGGACTAATGAAACCAACCTGATAATGTGCTCGAAAATTGTATTAAAACTGTAAAAATTTTAAAAAACAGTTCTTTAGTTTTTCAGCAATAAATTGTAAAGAAAGTACACTGTAAAATGCCTGTAATAGTTTTTTTCACTTTCAGGCATCTACAATCTGTAGCAAAGAATGGAGGCATATGCCTAAACAAAACATTATTCATTATTTTTGTATTTATTTAAGAAAAATCTCCACAACAGCTAGACTATGGGTGTGTCAGCACTCCGATTTCCTTATGAGCATTCCAAACATATTTTGATTTATGCACGACTGCCTTGATGTTATGTGCTTTAACGAATATTGCACGCTTCAAATTTATTTTTTGTTATATTGTGAAATATACAGTATTTAAATGAACCGGTCCACACATTCAGCATTCCACTGATTGTAATTATACTCGTAGAAGTAAAGGTTTTATGTACATTGATATTGTTTTTGAATTTTTATGAATATTTGTGTCTCAATTATTACCAGCTATACTGCTTAAGAATTTTAAGAATTTTTTACAAGTTTTAGTCTTTGATTGTTGATAAATCAGTGGGAAAATAAGGAACGTCCTGTCTATGTTTACATCATCAATATTTCTGTTTGTAGCATGTCGTATGCCTTCAGCTAGTCTTTTGTGACATTCTTTTTGGTAGTTGATGCATGCACTAATATTGAATATTACAGATTCTGTTCATGTGATCAAAGAGACTTATTACTTTCTTTTTTATGTTAATGTGATTTGGGCAGAGATACATCTTAATGGTGTAACTGCTGAATGACTACATGTAAATGATGGTTAAGTATTGTGGCCAAATGTCTCAGTGTTGAAAATTGTGGCCAAATGTCTCAGTGTTAAAAATTGGAGTGAAAGGCAATGCTTAACAATAATTATTATTGTTGATGCAGTTCTTGTAATTCTTTTTCTTACTTTTTTGCTAATTGAAGTGAATTTTTTAATGAAATATGCAGATTTCTCTCTACAGTGTTGGTACTGCAATCTAATCCTTTTAATAATTACACTGTGCTATATATTTGTTTTTAATGGCTCTTAGACAATCATCAGTTGACAGGTATGAGAACTCACTGATTCCAGCGAAAACTTACATTTTCAGCAATCCTAAAGTTTTAACATCTTGTTCAGGCTCTCTGTTTTTGGTGAAGGGGCTAAAAATTTCAAGCACATGTTTGGGAAAAAATGAATGAGGGGTAGTGAGAAAATGGTTATGGGGAGTTCTTTCTTGTGCTTTACTTAAAGAAAATTTTCAATCTCCTGGGAAGGTAACTTAAATATGTTCTATTTCAATTCGACAGAACCAAGCATCAATTTCTTCACAAATAGCTTGTAATCTATTTTCATTTGAATCCTTTTTGAGGTCAGGGTTATTTTCATGTTCATTAACAGTATCCTTAACAGAGAAACTGCAATTTTTGAGGCATGTTTTCATGTAACTGTGATAAGTAAACTTTTGATGATAAAATTATGCCTTATAAAGAGTCAAAGAAAATGGGCGAAGAGCTAGAGGGACTGTCTCTACTTGTCCCTTTTAGGCAGGTGCCCGGTACACTGTAATTCCTCTCTTACGATGAGCTGCTATTCCATTACAAATTCAAGCTCAGTGTTAGAGTATGTTTACAGGAGTTTTAGTTCCCAGGCTCTCTTTGGCCTGGTTGGTTCTGGCAGTTGGTCAAAAGAGGTCAAAACTGAAAAACTAAAAATATCCCTAGTAGGCCAGGGCTTCCAGTGAAACCCAAAAAGTTCAAGGACCAAACATTAAGCCCCCCCCCCAAAAAAAAAATCCCATGCCCATAATATTCTTACACCGGAGTTCATCAAATATTAATCATCCACAAAACAAGTTTGGTTGTACCCAAAAAAATACTCGCCAAATTTTCCTACCAAAAATATTTCAGTGGAAAATTTTGAATCCAAAAAATAACTTTCGATTACCTTGTCACTTAACTCAGGAGTAACCCCCTGGGGGTTTGGCTTAACCTATTGCTATCATGTTGTTGGCACCCTTTATGGAGATTAGGGGTGAGACAGTAATTGAAGCAAACAGTTCCTTGCCTATGGAATTAAATACCATGATGATTGTACACTGATCAGTGTTCATACTACCCAATCCAACAGGTCAAGTAAAAAATGCTACCTTTTTCAGGCCTGCAATTTTTTTCTTTTTACATACATGTGGGAGAAAATCCACCTTTAATCAATCAAACCAGAGCATTTGTGGGACAGTTTGTTATGCTGACACTTTTTTTCTTTAAATTACTGTGCAAATCTTCAGCTGTAAAATTATAGTCTTTACTAATATTTTATCCATCTGGTCATGATGTCTGATGGCTGGTAGGATTTTTTTTTCAGTCATGGGCAAAATTTAGTTAGGCATTGTCCAATTACTAATTGTTATTTGTAGCCCAACTACTTTAGTCCCATATTAAATTGTTTTGTTTATATAATGATTCTACTACAGTGGAAGCTATCCTAACGGACACTCTCATAAATGAACAGCTCTACTTATGGCCATCTTCACAAAACCCTGTTTTTCTCAACTCCAATAAAAATATCTTTTTATTTTTACATTCCCCTGAGCGGCCAGCTTCAGTGATGGACACCTTTTTTGCATTCCAAGGGCGTCTGCTCACGAGAGCTTCCACTGTATACCAATGCAAGTCATGTGTTAAAAGACAAAACTTGTATGTCCGAAAACAAAAACTAAACAGATTTACAGTGTAAGTGAAGTGTGAAAAAATACCAACCATGATGATGATGATGATGACGATTTATCTCTTTTCAATTAACTTACAAAGTTTCAGTAAAAAAAATGAGAACTATCAGTAGGACAGTTTAATTGGCTGCACAATATATTAATAAATACCATCATTCAAGATATTTGCATCTCCTTGGCATGTTTTTTTAAATATTCATATCTCATGTTCATTGAACTAGATGTTCAATAGACTATCATATTTTGTGGACTAATGAACCAACCTGATAATGTGCTCGAAAATTTTATTAAAGCTGTAAAAATTTTAAAAAATAGTTCTGTAGTTTTTCAGCAATAAATTGTAAAGAAAGTACACTGTAAAATGTCTGTAATAGTTTTTTTCACTTTCAGGCTTCTACAATCTGTAGCAAAGAATGGAGGCATATGCCTAAACAAAACATTATTCTTTATTTTTGTATTTATTTAAGAAAAATCTCCACAATAGCTAGACTATGGGTGTGTCAGCACTCCGATTTCCTTATGAGCATTCCAAACATATTTAGATTTATGCACCACTGCCTTGATGTTACGTGCTTTAACGAATATTGCACGCTTCAAATTTATTTTTTGTTATATTGTGAAATATACAGTATTTAAATGAACTGGTCCACACATTCAGCATTCCACTGATTGTAATTATACTCGTAGAAGTAAAGGTTTTATGTACATTGATATTGCTTTTGAATTTTTATGAATATTTGTGTCTCAATTATTACCAGCTATACTGCTTAAGAATTTTAAGTTTTACAAGTTTTAGTCTTTGATTGTTTATAAATCAGTGGGAAAATAAGGAACGTCCTGTCTATGTTTACATCGTCAATATTTCTGTTTGTAGCATGTCGTATGCCTTCAGCTAGTCTTTTGTGACATTCTTTTTGGTAGTTGATGCATGCACTAATATTGAATATTACAGATTTCTGTTCATGTGATCAAAGAGACTTGGTACTTTCTTTTTTTATGTTAATGTGATTTGGGCAGAGATACGTCTTAATGGTGTAACTGCTGAATGACTACATGTAAGTGATGGTTAAGTATTGTGGCCAAATGTCTCAGTGTTGAAAATTGTGGCCAAATGTCTCAGTGTTAAAAATTGGAGTGAAAGGCAATGCTTAACAATAATTATTATTGTTGATGCAGTTCTTGTAATTCTTTNATTTCTGTTTGTAGCATGTCGTATGCCTTCAGCTAGTCTTTTGTGACATTCTTTTTGGTAGTTGATGCATGCACTAATATTGAATATTACAGATTTCTGTTCATGTGATCAAAGAGACTTGGTACTTTCTTTTTTTATGTTAATGTGATTTGGGCAGAGATACGTCTTAATGGTGTAACTGCTGAATGACTACATGTAAGTGATGGTTAAGTATTGTGGCCAAATGTCTCAGTGTTGAAAATTGTGGCCAAATGTCTCAGTGTTAAAAATTGGAGTGAAAGGCAATGCTTAACAATAATTATTATTGTTGATGCAGTTCTTGTAATTCTTTAGCAGTGTATTAAGTCAAAAACTTGTCAAACCATTGATTCTCGTTTTTTGAAACATCCTTAGTGATAATTGGATTTTACATCTTCTGTCCTGTGTTTATCTTTGCTTTATTTCTCTTTTGTTTTTTTAATTTTTTTAACAGTCTGTGTTATGACATGAGTGAGCAAAATCATATGTTCAAATTAAACTGTTAAAATTTGTAAAAGCAATGACGGTTACATGAAAAAGATTCCAAGAACATGTTTTGATAACCTTGTAACTGATGGAAGGTTTAAGTTTGGCTTAAATTTATGACATTCTGGAGTTTTAGATTAGAGTTGTCATGTAGCAAAATAATAATACTCATTTTATGTTGTTATAAATTTGTTTTCTATTCAACTGTTTCCTCCAAAAAAATACTTGACATTAGTAGATTTCAGACTGAAGGAATCATCTATTTCGTAACACAAGTCTGCTGGTTCAGTTGTATGCATAATTCTACGCTGATCATGTTTCATTACCAAATCAAAACAGACTAGAATTTTCTTTTATATTATAATAATTGATTATCGAAGCGTTTAGGTGATAAAGGTGATAACTTTTTCACTCAGCTGTCTTTTAATGTGAAAATTAGACGATTGTTATGAGTGATCAAAATAATTCTTGGAATGTATTTTGTGTTTGTACTTTGTGGTCAGTTACTATAACAGTAACCGACCACAAAGTACAAACACAAAGTACATTCCAAGAATAGTTACTATTGATACAAATTTTAACCGCAACAATAAAATCCAAGCTGCAAAACAGAATAGAATATTAAAACTCATGCTAACAATCATGTATATTGATTAATGGTGAAGAGACAATGGATTCAAACGATTTATTTTGGGTTGATCCAGGATCTTAAAGCATCTACTAGGGTTTTTCTTGGTATTATTTTCGACAAACATTTATCTTATTGTTTGGGTTTACATCCAACTTAAGAGCAATACTTCATGTGGAGTTGGAAACACTTCTTTTGATATGGTTTGAACTACATTTGTATGAAATTTTTATGATTGTATTAGACTGTTACCAGCTTTTTAAAATGAAGTTTAGTGGTAAATGTGATGTACATATGTGTAAATGCTTTTTTAAGGTAATTTCAGTAACAGTCAATCATACAGCCTATTTGAACTACTGAGATTTACATTTGAAAGATATAATGTTTTTTGCTGTTAGAAAATATGAATCAGTACAGAGCTTGAACAGTGAGGCTGTGTCCTTAGTAGGCCATGTGCTAGCATAATTACTGTATTTTTTATGCAGTGCTTGACTTTGATAGTCAAAGAAGCTATGTTACTATTTCTCATTATTAATAATTTTAAAACCCTAAAGTATATGTCTTTGGCTTTCGATGAAGGTTTCATGGTTTCTCAACATTATACAATGTACACTGCAGGAAAACTTCATCATCTTTTTTCCCCAAAAAATGCCAACAGGGTTATATTTTATGTAAGGGGGTTAAGTTCTGTCCAGATCGCAAAATGCTAAAACTTCCACCATTTTGATAATTTGTTTCCGCCAGGTCTATATTCTCATTTAAACTTATGGTAAAATGACAACGGCTTTACTGCCCAAATAATGCTGGCACTTTGCAGTGCACACACGCCAATAGCGAACTTACACAACAGGGTGGGAGAGGGAAGAAGATCGCAAACCTTGTGTGACAAGTATGATAATAAGTTTGTTTGAAATAACTTTTGGCCAAACTTTACTTCCCTTTAAACAGATCTTTTTGTAAAAGACCAGAAAACATTAACTTAAGTGAAGATCACGACATAACGCGCAAGTATTCACCCTGTCACATTTGTCACGCACAAGTGTGATGCCGTCCTTTCCTTCCTGCAGTCCTGTTGTGTAAACTCACTCTTAACTGGTGTGTATTCAGAAAATCTCATCCCCATTGTCTTATCTTGTAATCTAAAGGTCTCTGATGATGTGTTCCATATCCACAGCATAAGTCACCGTGTTTTGCTGTTTCAGGTTACTCCAGGCGGAAAAGCAGATATATCTCAATCTATTGCTGTTGGTGATGAGGTGATAGCTATTAATGGTATTGACTGTATATCTCGATCTGAGGCGATAGAGTTGGTTAGGTGCTCCAGACAGAAACTCAAAATCAAGTTGCGAAGGTAAGCAATGAAAATTATTGGATAATGAATATTCACACTGATGGAAATCCTTGAGTTTTAGTTGTTTTAAATTTATGTTTGTCATACACAGTGTAGTCAATGTCCCGTCCAGAACTAGTCATTCTATGATGACGACAACATTTTTCAAAAGAAGCAAAAATTATTGTGGAGATTTGCATCATAGTTTTAAGTAACATATTTAACAAAGAAATGTCTGAAGTGTTCCTTTGAGGACCATGAGAAATGATAGAAGAATAGTATCAAGAATAAAATATTATTATTTGTTGATACATGTATACCTGTATTAGAGCTTAAAATGGTTTTAAATGCTATTATCACAGCCGAAAGACATCTTGCTAATTTGGGGATGCTATTCAAGAAGGGTGGCCATTTTGTTTTTTGTGCAAAATTACCTCATTTTCATGCAAGCGTCTTGCATTGTTTTTAAACTATGTGATATCTCACATTTTCTGTTGTTTTTTAAAACCCCGTAATAGATTTTGCATGTTTTCTCTTGCCTCAAAATCATGAGATTGAGATCACACAAAAGTTGGGATCTCTACACTTTTTATTAATCTTTGGATTTTACTAATTTTTATTTTAAGGAAAATTTAATTGTTTTCAATCCATGCTTATAAATAATGCTTTTAAAGTGTTGAATAACCTGCACCACAGACAAAACCAAACTCTGGTTAAGTCTGTCTGCAAAACAGCACTAAAATCCTTGTTCTGGGCCTCCACTTGTGTACCAGGATTTGAGCACGCGCCATGATTGGCCTGTTAGAAAAGTCATTGTCGATTTGCCAATCAGGATGAAGGGAAATTCGAAAAGCACTTCCGTTAATTCGTCGAGTCCACTGGGGGCCCATAACATGTATCTCAACACTGCTTCGCAGACAAACACTTTTGATTTATATGTAAATTACATGAATGTGGAAATCTTTTCCCAGCAAGCCTGATTTTTTCTCAGGCCTTCTTTAAGCAACTTCATAAAATGCTTCTTTGACTGCAATGATCTTCTTTGCTTTGAATGCACAAAGACTTGCTCAAAAGCTATTTATTTCT